TGGCCAGATCAGACGCCATGTTGTCTCCCTCCAGCGGCGATTCGCCTCCCTCTGTTCCAGATTCGAAGCCGCCACCGGAACACAATGGTGCCCACATGCCGCCAAAAAATCAGAGCTTCAATCTCTCCTTACCCGGCCATACCGGGTAACCGGGTTGGTAACCGGTAACCGGTAAACCGAATATTTTCCGGTATCGGTAGTCGGCGACACTTTGCCATGGTTCGGTACACCGATAACCGGTTATTCGGTAACCGGTTTACCGGTAACCGACCGATTACCAGCCCTAAAAAAGACTGTGTTTCTAAGGAGATGTATACCTCTCCTAAGAGTCTTACGAGTGTACTTGTATTGACAATAAGGTCGATCTTGCTTATCTTATGTTTTTTTTATATTCATCAGCTGTCGCGTACCAAGAGAAGAAATTTAAAGAGAAGATGCAGAATATCCGTCAACACATGCCCTGAAGGTGCGCAGTGGCTTGATCAACATGACCTTGAAATGTGGACTTTTCATAAGGACGGAGGTCACAGATGGGGTATTGCCACAACACACTCAAGCGAGAGTATCAACAACGTCTACAGGGAATGTCGTGCACTCCCCATCTTTGCAATTGTTGAGATGACATTCTGGAAAACAAACAGATGGTTCGTCAACCGTCTCCACTGGTGTGAGAAGAGGGAGGCACAGGGTAAGGTACACTCCGATTATGTCACAAAAATAATGGAAAAAGATAATCGGAAGAGCTCTCGTCACACAGTCACTGTGATGAACCGAAATGCTGGCGAATATTCGGTCGAGACTGGGCACTGGGAGGATGGGAGACGTGGGGGTCATCGCCATGAAGTCACCGTAAACTTTAGGACTAAAAAGGGGGAGTGCTCTTGTCAGAAGTATCATGGTAGAGGGATACCATGTTCTCATGCAATGGCTGTAATAAAGCACAGGAGCAAAGACCCTCGTCATTTCGTTAGTCCGTTCTTCAACATTGACTCACAAAAGAGCAGTTATCGTACTAGTTTCCGTGCATTACCGGATGAAGCTTACTGGCCAGTTTATGAGGGTATGGTCATCATTCCACCAATCGGTCTTAGGCGGGAAACAGGGCGCCCGCGGGTAAAAAGGATTCCAAATGAAATGGATCAAAGTGGAAGACCACCGTGAGGGCCAAGGCGGTGTTCCATATGCAAAGTACCCGGTCATGATAAACGAAAATGTCCCGGACCAATTGGTCCTCAAAATGCAGGGCCCGATGTGGTGAACCCGGATAATGGCGCTTAGATTGATTTCATGCGTTTGTTCCATCTTTGTGTATTAGTTTCAATGGTTACTCTACTTGTATGTTGTGTGCTTAAATGACATTGGAGATTTGCACAATTAACAAACTTTGGTGCAATTTTCCATCTTTTTGAATAAAACACATCACGAACACAAACACACTACATGAAAAAAGTAAAAAATAACTTCACCTAAAAACACCATTGTTCAACTTAATTTAAACAAAACATAACTTGAAATAAACACAACTTGTCACACTCATGCATTATTTCGACAGTTTGCCCTCTGTTTCCTTGTGCGATTGGCGACTGGTCCACCGGGTGTAGCTGATGGTGGAACGGGTGGCAGATTCCTATTTGCCGTAGAAGGGAGATCCTCCGTGCTATGCCGCCTCGGTTCCGTGATAGGTGGCCCCTCCGTCTGCGATCGAGGGCTATCAATGCTCATACGGTGGGGAGTGGATTGCCATTGTTGTTGCCATTGTTGTTGTGGTCGATTCCAAGGTGAGAAGTCTTGGTGTGGAGTGGATTGCCATTTTTGTTGCCATTCTTGTTGTTGCCATTGTTGTTGTGGTCGCTGCAAAGGTGAGAAGTCTTGGTGGGGACTTGAGTATGAACCCTCGGCCCAAGTAGCTGAGGATGTGCCGTCATGAAATGTACTTGGCCGTTGTTCATACTGGAAACTGGGTCGGAGATTGTATTGGAAACTTGACCGCGGATCATACTGGCTTCCGGGCTTGGGATCGTAGTGAGTACTCCCCCCTTCACCGCTGCACACCTCCAAAGGAGTAGGCGCCTTCCACGCCGCAATCGGCTTGATCTCCGGCACGTGAGGTCGATCCCTCGTAGCTTTGTTTTGCCTTCTATGGACCAGCGGAGGCACCGGGTCAACATCCAGCGTCACCGGCGGCGGTCTCACTGGGGGAACTGGAGGGTATCTATGATGGTCACATCCGCGCGCTCGCATACATCCAAGGAGATTGTTCGCTATCCTTCGAATGAGCCCCACCTCTCGACCCGCCGCCGAATGATCTGCCGTCCGCGCGAGATCGTGGATTCGATCGATGCCATCAACCTAAATCGAATAAAATAACAAAGTTAGCCATTTAAAAAATAATGCACCGCATGACTAAACAAATAAAAAATTAATTTCTTACCAAAGCTCCGTCCGCCACTCCTTCGGGGGTCATGTAACGAACAGATTGTCTTCGGTAGGTTTCCAAGTATGGGTCATGGTAGCCCATCCGCCCCACATGAGATAGCGTCACAATATCCTGATCTTGCCTAACATTCCACAGGCAGATCAACATTTTATACTCCTCCGGCCAATTAGTAAGTCCTTGTCGACCATCTTTCCCGTGGTACCCCTTCTGACTCTCCGGGACATCCAATGGTATGCATTGCTCACGTCCAAATTGTCGTAGACATCGATCCGGCAAGTGCCACTCCACTATATGGTGGCAGATTAGTGGAACTCGGGTGCACCATTGACCGGGATGTAACGGGAACTTGTGGACGTGATGCGCAACAATCCGTTGTGGATACGGATCGAACTTAAGCTACGAAGGTTTAAAAAATAAAACCATTAATCAACATAATAATATAAGTTAAAAAAGTAGGTTTTAATAGCGTATTATGATGCTCACCTCTGCTTCCCAAAGGTGATCAAGCCTCCTACGATACTCCTCCAGCTTATGCGCTCCTAGGTTGTCGCATGTTGTTTCACCAAGCCACCTATTAATATGGAAAAGTACACAATGTTAGTACATACAAAAAATTTCGTTATAAAAAACTAAATTAGTAAAAAAAAGGTGAGAACTATGAGTGGGATAGAAGATATTTACCTACAACCATAAGCTTCATGTCGTAGGGGATGGTCGGGTCCCCGTTCCTTGTCGGGGTCTACCTTCGGTGCAATCCATGGCAAATGCTCCCGAGCCCAAAATTGGACAATGAACATGGCCCCATCAATCTCCTTCACCGCTCTCGCACTAGCATTACATAGGGATCGGTAGAGATGAGCTAGGCAAGCAGATGCTCAGCTCAAGTTTCCCATATCATCCCAACTACCAAGTATGATCTTCAACCATGAATTGCTGATTAGGTTGTTGGATTTCTTGGGGAAGAAAACTCCTCCGATCATGCCGAGGATGTAGATACGTGCATAAATGTCTTTATCACGCTCCGAACTTTCCTCCGTGAGGGGAATGCCTCCGAACTCAGGGTTGTGCTTACGCCTGATCTCCGCTGTCAACCACGTGATGGATACTTGGCCCTTGGACAATGGTGGATGACCATCCGCATCGTGATCTCCCTTTTCTGGCGGACACAACCCGGTGACCGTCCATATAAAATGTTGCCAACCACTCATATTGGCAACAACTTTAGGTGGTGGCGTAGAGTCCACACAAACAACATCACCATCGATGGGGATAGGGCTGGCTATTTGGACCGGGACCGGATAAAAAACCGGAAACCGGACCGTATAACCCGGATCGAGACCGGACCGGGACCGGATAGTAAACAATCCAATCTAATCTTTGGGCTTAGATTTAAGGTAAAAAACCGGATAAAGATCGGATAAGAGAGCTCAACACCCAAAACTTAAGGGTAATTTGCATAAACGGTCATAAAACCTTTACACTTAGTACAAAACTTAACCAACTCCTCACCCTTTTAGGCCTTAGGCCACTCAAATTCCCACAATCTCAATATAAAATCAAGACCGAATTGGGACCGGACCGGGTCAAGACCGGACCGGATCAAGACCGGACTGTATCCAATCCAATCTTTGGTCCTTATATTCTCAAAAAAATCGGACTGGACCGGATCAATTTGGGCCAATTTAACCGGACCGGACCGTATAGCCACCCCTAGATGGGGAGATCGGTTAGGATGGCGATATCCTTAAGTGTGATGGTGCACTCGCCTTCACGAAAATTGAAGCAGTGTATCTCCTTTCGCCATCTCTCTACCATCGCCGTGATGAGTTGGCGGTCGATCTTAATTCCATTGAAATGCCTAATCGAATCCAATCTTGCCCTTTTTAGAAAGGGCAAGATGACGTCGTTCCATTCAAGCACATTCGTTGTGCCCCTATAGCGGACTATATGGTATGCATCCTAGAGAAGAATTTAAATTTCACTATAAGTTGATGATTTATACATATATAAATATATTATAAGATACAATTTATATATAAATCAAGGTTGTTTTAGAGAAATATACATGATCTAATAAACATTAATTTTAACATAACTAAAATAATTTTCTAAGATGCAATATTAATTAAATCAAGCAGTTTTATAGAAATATACATTATCTAATAAACATTAATATTAACATAACTAAAATAATATTCAAATATATTATTTTGTTAATCGTATTGATTATTTTCAATAATTTAAAGCAATACAAGTACACTCGTAAGACTCTTAGGAGAGGTATACATCTCCTTAGAAACACAGTCTTTTTGACAGAAAAAGGGGGATCCGAGGATCGCTTAGAACCCGATTTTCCCAGGTCATGGGGGGATCATGATGATCGCTTAAGTCCCCATTTCCTTAGACATGCATTTCTTTATAAAGAATCTAAATAAGTGTTGTATTGTATTGATTTAAATTATTGAAAATAATCAATACGATTAACAATTAAGTAAATTATTGTACAAACAAATAAATTACTTTAACAAAATACAAATTACAAGTGATGATAAATAATATGTACCTTGTGGTCGTTCCAAACGTCTCTTGAACGATGATTTGCTTGATCGTATAAAACTGTCGGATCAATCGGTCCTTGATCAACATAATATCGTTGATTGAAAATATCAACATCCGGCCCAACCTACGATAGCATAACAATAACATAAATCATTAGTATATAAATTAAATAAATCATTATAACAACAACAACAATTGGGAAAAATGAGTACGTACCGTTTGATAATCATCATAAAAAAGGCCCTCTTCTTGAGCGAAATCGACCATTCTCTCGGAATCCGGACAGAGGTTCGACGGTTTTTTAGTGAAAACCAAAGAAAAAGTTTTTTGGAGGCAGATCGGACTTAGCCGCAACCAAAAAATAACTAATTCTAAGGTTTTTGGATGGGGAGGGGGGTGGGTAGAGAGAAGTTAGAGGGAGAAAGGGGGGAATGAGTTTGGTGTGCAGAAAAATGAAGAGGGGAGGGGGTTTATATAGGGTACAAACCGCGTGGGGGAGGGTCGTTCCGTCATTTTTCCCACCAAAAACCGCGCCTCTAGAACGCTATTTGCGTTTCCCAACAGTCAAACCGTGCCTCGGGGAAGCGGTTTGCTTGGGCGTGTTTGCGTTTCCCAACAGTCAAATCGTGCCTCGGTGAAGCGGTATGCTTGGGCGACGCGGATCGCCGAGCTGGCGCGCGTTTTGGCCGTCAGATCGCTCTCCCATCGCGCGGTTTGATGCACCGCCACGTGGCCACGCGTTTTGACAGCCATGCAAGGTCAAACCGCGCCTTGGAGGAGCGATTTGTGATATAAACGCTGCCTGGAGGCGCGGTTTCATTAAAAACCGCTCATTAGAGGCGCGGTTTTTTATAAACGATGGTATTTTTGGAAATTATTTGGAGTGGGTTGTATTTTTGTAATTTTTTTTAAACAGTGGTAGTTTTGAATTTTTTTCCTTGATTCAGCGCGCGATGGAACACGAATTTCATTTTAAGGTAATCGGGAAACGTGGAATGACCAAACTAGCCATGCCCTCCTCACACGTCCTTTCCCCTACCTTGATTTTCCTTCCTCTCCTCGGTTACCTCCATTGACGCACGCAACATCTAAATCGGAGTTTTCGCTGTCATCATCATTCCCTTGCATTCGATAAATCTTTCACCATCCACTGCTGGCTGGGCATCATTTTTTGAAATCCAAACTACAGTTTCCGGAAGCTCGGAAAGATTGGGTATCGTTTTCCTTTTGTTGGGAGGAATTTGGTTTGCGTGGAAAGTCTCAGCCATCCTTTTGGGTTTGGTTTTTGTAGCCATCGCGTTTCAATTACAAGTGGCCACCAAATGTACAGAAACCACAGCTCTTCCACCCCGTCGCCAACCCTAAAATGCTGCTGCTGCTCCTAAACCCTGCTTCGAGCCTCCTCTTCTCCCCCCTCTTTTTCACGCTCGGCATCAGCCCTAAAGGCAGAGCAACTGCCAGAAGCTACGCACCAGCGGGAATGGCGAAACACTCCGTCAGCTGGCCACTTGTGCACAAGAGATGGCTGCTGGGTCTGTTAATCATGCTCTCCATTTCCACCGTCATTGCTTTCTTTATCAGGTCCGCTCTCGATTCCTGCGATCGTCACTTGGAACAAGTTTCTCAGGAATCTTCTGCCAATGCTCCGGTGCCTCCCAATCCCCTCAGCTTCATGAGATCCAAGCGTGTACTCATGGTCTCGCATGAACTTTCCCTTTCTGGTATTCTCTTTCTCCTCTTCCAGTTTTTCTTAGATTGAACATCAAACACAATTTCTGCTATCCGTTTTTATTTTCCCTTTTTTCCCCCCATGTTACTAGTGTTCTGCTTTCCCTTCAAGTTTTGAGATTCGATCTCCTTTACGTGGTATAGATTACACGGGATTGGATCGTTTTGTCTTAATGCGAACTCAGTTTTGGTGCGAACCCAGAACTGAACCGCTCAGCATCCTTCCTAGAGAATATTTAAGTACTTAATGGTGGAGCTATAAATGATTAACACGTTTGTGTTCTTTCATTGTGATTTCCTGGAAGTCTCGTGGGAAAGCTTGGGGTTTTTTTTTTATCACAATTAGTTGTGCTATTGTAATATCTTGTTCTGCAGGATTTTTCTAGGCTCTTAGTGATGGAATGTGTGACTCGAGCCAGGAATAAATGTCTCAATGAGTGAGGTAATTCTGGAAAACATTTCCGGTCCTCAGTAGGAAACGTTATCGTGGTGGCATGGCTGTACTGTCGATGCTTTCTGGTTCATTTAGTCAATGCTGTTCTTAAGATATTGTAGTTTAGCATGAGTGGCAAGGAAGTGTTTTTGTCACCTGGAACACTGTTGACCATTTGTTATCGGCTTGAGTAACTACCAAGAATATTTGTGCTCCCAGCTTACTTCTGTTTCTGGAAGGTTTCTGGCACTTCATCATAATAATGCATTTATTGGCAAGACATATGTGAATGCCTTGAAAATGGCGTTTGTTTTGCCCAAAACTATTAATTTCCATACAGTTAATATTGAAAGATCGATAAGAGATATTATTAGGTTGTTCTGCAGTGCATGTCAAATCATAAAAAGAAACGTGACCAACTGTTCTCTCTTTGATGGAGAAGAGATATGAGTACGTTGTTTTGCTATGCATGTCAAATCATAAAAGGAAACATGCCCAACTGTGTTGTGGGTAGCATTTAGTTCTTTCTCTCTTTTTCTACCCGTCGTTGTAATGTGTTTGATAGCATTCGAGTTGCAAAAGGGGAAAAAATTGTTCTCGTGCTCTATCTCTTTCTGTTATTTAACAATACATCTTTATGTGTTTTAGGTGGGCCATTGTTGCTCATGGAGCTAGCTTTTCTACTAAGGACTGTTGGTGCTGGAGTTTCTTGGATAACTATCCAAAAACCTCTGCAAACTGATGGAGTGATTTACAATTTGGAGGACAAAATGTTGGTCCGAGGAGTGCAGGTACATTAGGATTCTGTCTTCTAAATTTGCCACATAACAAAGGCACACATACTTCTATACCAACCTTATTGTATTTTGTCCCACTCAGTCTATAGACACTTTAACACCCTTGCAATCCTGCTCTATCTCGTTCATAGGAGATCTCTTAAAGGAGCTGATCATTCTATTGCACTGATTACAGGTAATATCCGCAAAGGGACAAGAAGCTATAGATGCTGCCCTCACAGCTGATCTGGTTGTTCTGAATACAGCAGTTGCTGGGAAATGGCTGGATCCTGTTCTTAAGGGAAATCTTTCTCGTGTTCTTCCAAAAGTTTTGTGGTGGATCCACGAGATGCGGGGGCACTACTTCAAATTGGATTTTGTCAAACATCTTCCTTTGGTTGCTGGCGCTATGATTGATTCACATGTCACTGCTGATTACTGGAAGAATCGAACCCAAGAGCGTCTGGGGTAGGTGCAAATTTAATTTCTCAATCTTTGCAACTTTTATGTCAATGTGGATTGCAGTTTTATTCCTTGCTTTCAAATTTTGTCTTCGTAGCTTACTTTTCATATCTGGAGATTAGGAAGTCACTTATGTGTTAGTTATGTAACAAGCTAATCTCTCTATGGGTCTAGGATAAACTTTATGATAAGTGTATCAGCTATTCCCTGTTACTTCAGTCTGGGATGCAATCCTCATGCACTATTTGATTTTAGCTTTTTTGTCGTTAATTTAGTTCCTTTACCTATTGGCAACTACTCTTTACAGGATTAAAATGCCTGAGACCTATGTTGTTCATCTTGGTAATAGCAAGGAACTTATGGAGGTTGCGGAAGATAGTATTGCAAATAGGGTTTTGCGTGAGCACATCCGGGAATCTCTTGAAGTTCGAGATGAAGATTTACTGTTTGGCATTATAAACAGTATGAATTTCTTGTAACTTGATATTCTTAGATGATAAAGATCGTTCTTCCTCTGTTAGGTTACTCTTAGATGCTCCAATATGCCCCTATTGTTTCATTTTAATTTATTGTCACCCCCAACGTTCCCCACATTATATGAAAAGTGAAAATAAAATCTTTCTTTCTTTTACCTTATTAAGGCATTGATGTCATGTGTTTCACGTGGAAAGGGCCAAGATCTGTTTCTACGCTCCTTCTATGAGACTTTACAACTGATCCAGGAGCGGAAGTTGCAAGTTCCATCTGTGCATGCTGTAATAGTGGGGAGTGACATGGGTGCACAAACGAAGTTTGAAACGGAGTTGCGGAACTATGTGATGCAGAAAAAGATCCAACACCGTGTTCACTTTGTGAACAAGACTCTTACTGTTGCTCCTTACTTAGCTGCAATCGACGTTCTCGTTCAGAACTCTCAGGTACTTTATCCCGTTCCTTTTTTAGTCAACTGCTATGCTACTCCTGTATATTTTTCGGAATAAGCAATGCAGGTTCCCTTCAAATGCCTCATGTCATGCTCTTTACTTGCCTGTTCTATTTCCTGAGATAGTACGGAACGACACCAGGGGAATCAGTTCATTGTCCTCTTCAAAGAAACTGGTTGGATATTCTTAGACCATTCTTCATTGTTGTGTCCTATCTTTGCACCACATATGCAGGCCCGGGGAGAATGTTTTGGGAGGATAACCATTGAAGCAATGGCATTTCAGTTGCCTGTCCTGGTGAGGGTGCTGTCCTCCTTAATACTATTCTAACCTGGTTCTTGTGACATGTTTATGACTTGCACAGACGTCGATGCTAACTTGAATTCCTTTTTTTTTTCTTGCTAACTCGATCCCCAGGGAACTGCTGCTGGTGGCACTGCAGAGATAGTTGTGAATGGGACTACTGGCATGCTGCATCCAGTTGGGAAAGACGGAGTTCCGGAGCTTGCCAAAAACATGGTGAAACTTGCAACTCAAGTAGAGAGGAGGCTTACAATGGGGAAGAGAGGCTATGAGCGTGTGAAGGAGGTGTTTCTAGAACATCACATGGCACATCGAATTGCTGTTGTGCTGAAGGATATACTGAGAAAGGCGAAGGATAACCAACATCGACATACAATTTGAGCCTAGCTATATTATTTTTGTGTTCAGAGATCAAAAGGTGTGACTAGTTTGAATGCATTTCTTTGTTCCATAAGTCATTTCTCCCATCAAGGCAGCAGTACAAAGATGATTTTAAGAGAGATTTAACTATAGGGAAAAGATGCAGTTACGGCCCCCAAGTCTCTGCCTTCACAGAAGTACTGTAACTTGTGTACATACTAGGATGAGTTCCAATGATGTCTCCATAGCGTTGCTGAGTTTGCATTTTGTCTCGAGTCTTTCAACTTTCCTGGTGGTAAATTTGATTAATTTCTGTTGGCATGCTGTTAATTGGCTTGTAGGAAGGGATGTTTGTTAGTTCCGGTCTGTGTGCGATGTTCAAACTTTTGTCTATCATGCAGGCATGTAATGATGTAAGCTCGCTCGACTGTTGAGCCACCTGGGAATGGGCATGTAGGAGTCGATGCGAGTAAGGCTGCTGGGTATGCATATTTGAGATGCACAAATTATGCGCATGGGAGTATGGCAGATGTTCCTGTCACGGACTAACTTATGGCCGTGCGACACCTAGCACTCAAGTCTCTTAGAGCGCTAAGGCAGCCTAGCTTGCAATCTCTCAAACTCACAAGTGTGGATAAACTCTGACTCGTCCCGAATACCTCAATAATTTTTCGCCTAAGGTCCAAGTATAAACCTTAGTCGGGTGCAGTACAGGATAAGTGTGTTTAAATATCAACTCGGGCCGGTCCGTCTACCCCTACTTCAGTCATTTAAATCATTATCTAGCAATAAGGTTTTGGTTGAAAAGTTTGCTAATTAGAGTAAAACAAGACAAAGGTGGATGGCTTTGAAAGCTCTTTTGTGGAAGGATCACTCGGGTGTTGCTTCCCCCTAACTACTACCATGGCATGTGAACCGAAATGATTGCTATGGGCAAGGTGATCTCTAACTGCTAGGGGACGCAAATATGGTATTAGACCACGCTCATGATTGCTAAATCGAGGCATGCATTATAGGCTGTCACTAGGCCCTCTCAGTTTAGGTAATCAATGGTTGATTTACTCCCTCACTCAACCCAAGGGTTGGTCGGCTTAATCGTGCTTAACGAAATTCTTAATCCAATATTGAGGTTTGTCCTAAATTAACCTAGTTAGAAGACTTGAAAAGCCCTAGGGATACCAACTCAATTGAGACTAGATTAAGTGGTTAATTAGATTGCTAAGCATAGACATGCACAAACCTAAGGACGCTAAGCATAAACATGCACAATTAAGATGAATAATATCTCAAACATTTGGATTAAACAAAACCCAATGACAATCATTCAATTCACATAAAAGAAGACTACATGATAAAGTTAGGGTTTCACAACACCCAAGTGAAAAGAATTCTACTCCATGCTAGAGATGGGAGAAACACAAGGAGAAGGGGTAGAAACCATCTTGGAGGAGGCTTCCAATCTTCTTGGCCCTTGTGTTGAACTTGCCTGGGAGGAAATCTTCCCAAAATCCACCTTGGAGCAAAAACCTAGCCTCCTTCTTTGGTTCGTGTTTCTGTCTCTAGAAATCAGAAGAAGGCTTTTTCACTCAAATGGGCTCTCCCTTCTCTCTTCCTTTCAGCTCAGCTTTTAAACAGGGAACAGGATGTGTTCACGGCTCCAGTTCACGGCCGTGAACACTGTAACCCGTCCGTGAACTCCAATTAGGTGCTGTAACGCACCGCTTTGCTTCCTTGTGTTCACGGTCCACAACTCCTCTTCATGGTCTTAGTGACCGTGAACATGCCTTGCATCAGTAACTTGCATTTTGGCTCTAGACACCTCAAGGTTCACGGCTAATGGCTCTTCTTCACGGTCATGTAAGACCACGAACAACCCAAGAAAACCGGATTTCGCCCTTTTTCACCTCTTCTCGCGATTTTCGATCATTTGCGTCCAACTTTCGACTCCGAAGCTGGTTTCACCTGTTAAATCCCGAAACACACTAAAATACGAGAAACCTAGCATAAAACCAACCTTTTAGGAGCGAAGTTGCCACAAACGAATAAGGAAAACGGGGGCAAAACATGTACAATTAGGCCTGTATCACTCCCCCACACATAGACGTTTGCTTGTCCCCAAGCAAACCATTTTACACAAGGTAATATTTCAACCTACACAAATACTTTGGGGGACAACTCAAAGGGCACAAAGTGGGAATTCTCAATGGCTATTGGCAATCAATACATCGACCGTTGCAAGCAATACCGACATCCACCACAAACGACATTCGAAGCCACCAAAAATGGGCAAACGAAAAGTTCTCACCTTGTTCATGGATCAAATGCAAGTCTCAACAAGACCACTTATCAACCACAACCAACCATGCATGGAATTCAAGTCCGAGGAACAAATGGAAAGGCAACAAAGGTCCTCACCGGGGTATGATATGGCATGCAAAGCAAGAATGAATCACTCACTCTCAAGACCAGTGGGGTCGGGACCTTTTTGGTGCAAAAGATGTGCACAATCATAAAATCTCGGCCCTATCGCCTCAATACCACGGCGGTAACCTCTAAATGCTAGATTTCACGGAATGGTTGTCACCACTAGCTTGTCCGGAGGTCTTAGACACGGGTTCAGATGACTGGCAATTGTCTTGGACATGGGAAAAAGGCTTTTTGGGTGGTGGCAATCATGACGTGAGGTTATACATCTTCAACCTAAACCCAAAGGTTCTATGGTTTCGACTAAAACCCTTCTCTTCAAACCAAGGCCACTAGCATCGGCCAAAAACCTTATCTCTCCTTTCCAAATTATCACCCATCGTGAACTACATTGAAGCACTCATCCTCGGTCTACTCTTGTTAGCACATCAAGGTTTTGTAGTGAAGGAGTTCTAAAACAATGTGGGGGTTTCAATGGCTTGGGTGCCAAGAAACCCCTCCTAGAGCATGTACTTTGGTTTTTCATGGCACTCTCTACTTTATTTACCCCATTTTATTATCTCTTTTCGTTTCTCTTTTCTTTTCTTTCTTTTTCTTTTCTTTTTGAGGGGGGCACTAGAGAGTAAAAACACTTGCCACCTATACATTTAACGACCAATGCTCTCTTTTTGAGGAACTCACTCCAACACTACACTTCATTTTTCTCATTCCTAGCAAGAACCACACACAAACCTCCTATGTAGAACCTCTATGGAAACTCAAAGGTGAGAGCTCCAGGACACAAGGACGACTCATGTTTAGACACGAAGAAAGGATTGGTGGTCATTCTATCAACACCATTAAGCTCACAAGAACGAAGCTCCTAACTTAAGAACGACCCTCGAAGTCACAAGGCTCAAAGGGGTTGACTAGTGGATAACATATTTCGGGACAATCAACATTTGGGCGTGGATTAATTCTATGCCTCCATCATACTCAATAGTGACAACTGTGTTGTTACTTGCCATGGTAAGAGGGATCTAAGAACACAAGAAGAAAACGAACGGCTCAAAGCTCACATGGCTACACATAGTCACCCAACCATCTATTCCAATTCACAAACACAATGCATGGCAATTGTAATCAACAAGTAATCGAGTCAAGACATCCATTCATTTATGCACACATGAGAACTAAACTTTTTTCCTATCCTAATGAACCTCTCAGTCATCATCATAGGATATACTCGATCACATGCAACAATTCAAGATCAATGTCAATAAACACGAGAATTTCCCACACACCGGCCACTTTGATCATGCAAACATTGCTTGGAGCCCTCAAATTTTTGAAATTTGGGCATATATTAAGGCTCCAAGCATCCATCACACTCACACAAGCATAATAGTAAACTACCCCCCCCCCCCCCCACACACACACTTAAACTCGAAATTGCCCTTAATGGCGTAAGAAAGAGGTAGAATGATGTTACCTCTTGGGCTTGGTGGGGTGAAAGTTGAAATCGAATCCGGGGTAGGATATTTTGAGCTTCAAGGAGAGACAAAAAAACACACACACAAGCACAATACGACTCGCTCGAGGCGAGGTTATTACAAACACAATATGATAGTAGTGGTTTATGTCACACACACAAAATGAAGAAAAATAACAAGAAAAAAAAAAACAAGTTCAGGGTTACATGTGGAGAAGTGGGGCGAAAGGATTCGGCTCTGCCACATGTCTCACTCGTTGGATACATCTCTATGGTGAAGGACCCGCGACATCATCTGGGAGGATGTCCTGGCGTCGAGCCATAAGCTCGAGGATGTCAGTCTGTCGGTCCAGGCAGGAAGAGAATTCCACAAAGTTCGTCTCAAGGCGATCCACCCTCTGGACGAGGGGATAACCTGCTGATGCTGGTGGTGGCTATGCTGGGCGCTGGAGCGTTGGACGCTGACGGTTACCGGGTGCACGAGCAGGTGGATGCTCTGCTGGTGGTGGGACCTCGGGGTCAGGCTCCACTGGAGCCGAGTCAACTGCAGCTCGGACGACTCCTGAAGGTCGGAGTCCCTCAAGGTACTCCACTCCTCGCTCTCCCTAGAGTACCAGCTTGTGGTTGTACAACGTCTCCACTAGGAAGGGAGTCATCCTCCCGAGGCTAGTGCACCGAGTTAGATCCATCTGGAAGTGTCGCGCCATCCTCGTGATGGGGCCCCCCATATGCATGGTGTCCACTCTGTTCCTCCCAAGAGACCGGGCGAAAGAAGCGGCGATCAGCGATCCGAGATGGATAGGCTATGCTGGACTCCTCATTGAGTAGAGGGCAATGAGACCTCTATTCGTCATCAAGTGGTCGGACTGGAGGCTGGGGATGACTGAGCGCGTGAGTAGAGTGTGGAGGATCCTTCAAGGATTCCTCAGCTTTACCGCATTGGTCCGGCTCGCCTCGAATTCGTCCTACTCATGCTCGAAGCGGTAGAGGGCTCGGAATGGTCCCTGATAGTTGAAGTCGACGATGTACTGCCGCTTCGTCATCGTCATGTGAGTGTGGTCGAGCCCCATTGCATGAGCAAAGGCGTCGTAGGGCAGCACTCGTGGCTGACCTCCCAGCATGAACTTGTTGCCACCTAAAATTAATTCGGCCGGAATTAAATGCCGCATTAATAAGTCTCGGCATTTAAGTCGATACCGCGGTAAAAAACGGTGTCGTTGGGAGTCGAGCGGCGTCGTGGAGAACTAAAACGGCACCTCAAGGAAGCTCAACGGTGCCGCAACACTGGAAACGACACCGCTTGCCGAAATTAAAAAAGGGCCGCGCGTTTAATGGTGGTTGGAGGAGTTTTGATTATTTAATTATTATTTTTTATTCCTTGTGAGAAGCGGCACCACGGGGAGTTAAAACGGTACCGCAAGGAAGCTCAGCGGTACCGCGGTACTGGAAACGATACCGAAAATCAAAAGGGGGCCGCGCGGTTAGTTGGGTATTGGAAAAGGAGTTTTGTTTATAATTAATTAATAT